CCTTACTCAGGCAGTTGCACCATACTTAACAACTGAGGTTGTTCTCTTGTTGTTTGCAGAAAGCTGTGAAAGACCTCCAGGGTCAAACCATCTTGTGGCCTATGTCCACCACTGTAAACCTGGGAGGACCCCTTGGGCCGAGGTGTTACACTAACAGGGCTCTGCAGGAAGTGGCAGGCAGCGGCAGGAGCACTCGGCACCGCCCCCGTGCTCAAGCCATAAGAACAAGCCCCACCATGAGTCACGCCCATCACCTCGGGTCTGCACAGCACTGTGCTAACGTGGACACTCAACTTTTATCTGACTTAGAGCTCACTCACAGAGGCCAACTGTGGAGTCTTACCTGAGCAAATCCCTGTCCAGAGGCAACTTGCTACCACCACACCTTCGTCATGATGAGTCAACTTCTCCCCACAGGGCACTGGCAGCACTTGTACCACGTACCCCTATTGCCGACGGCTGAAAAACTCGTTCAAAGAATTAGCGCTGGCCTAAGTTGCACCAGGCAGCATTTGAATTATTATTTAACTAAAAAATAATTGAGCTGTTGAGGTTGCCAACAAAAATATTCTGATTAACGTTTACACATGCTTTTTTACATTACAGTTTGCTGAAGCACGTTTTGGTCTTACAGCTCCAGGATCATAGTTAACAGCTTCGTTTTGCTTTGAATGCTGGAGCATATGCAGCTCACCTTTATGGCTAACAAAGCAGAGGTGGAGAGGCACAGGCAGCATGAGCACTAAAGGAAACAGGGACAAGGACCATTCCCCGGTTTAGCAGCTAAGTGACACAAACTGCCCACATCCATGCAACGGCGCATTTGACTCCAGGTTTCCACTGAGCCCTGCATGGTACTCTCAAGACCCAATTATTTTATGATTCTTTTTTTTTTTCAGCTCAAAGTGCCTGAATAATAGATCACAGCAGTCGTCCACATTGAGTGAGAAACATTGCAGCTATTAAAAAAAGTGGAAAAACTGTTTTTTTGGGGGAGGGGATGAAAACGTCTGCAGTTTTCCTATGCCTCCAAAATCTTACAGGTCTAGTTTCTGTGACAGAATTTTAAATGCAGTGTAAGAGGATAAATGGAGCGAGAAAGATTGCTAATCCTTAATTTTTCCTGTGTTTATGTCTGTTTTTTATGTTATAGTCAATACTCCTAAGCCTATTAATCTCCACTGAACAGGTGAATAGATTTTGGAGCATTGGTCCATTCACCTCCATTTATCTTTTCACTTATAAAGTTAATTGAAGCTAGAACTTACTCAGTAACATCTGTGCAATCACACTTCCTTTATCAACCCTCTCCCTGGTATTTTTGGTAAAGATTTCTTAAAATTCTGGTAAGCATGTGCTACATTGGTGCTCCTGCCTTTCTTAAACTATTTTTCCCATCTACAACTTCGTACCTTGAAGTGCTGATCCCTAAGGATCAAAGAGTATAGAGGCTATGAGCATTACATGACTGGAAGGTGGGTACATGTGTATGGCCCTCTGCTGCTAGCCCTTACGTCCTCTTGCTCTCTTCTCCTGCTATCAATGAATTGTCAGGCCAGATCCCTGTATCAAAATGAGAGAGAGAGAGAGAGACATCAAAGGCAGAGTGATCTCAGAAATTCAGCATGGATGGCAAGCCTAACTTGGAGAATAACCCCTCCAAGAGTAATCTTTGCTGTAGAAAGAGCACTGTAAACCAAAAGCAGAACCTCAAGAATGATGTGATGTTTAAATATGAATTGCCTCTATAATCTTATGAAGCCTCAGATCGTGATTTGAAACGGCTAGAAGGATGATTCACAGCATTTGGCACCAACGCGTCCATATGCCTAAGATAAGGCACGTGATTACAAGCAGTCATGCCAGAAACGATATTGTTAATTTGAGCTTCCCCCAAAAAACTCACTAAGTAAAAACAGGAATTCTGTTTCTGAAGAGTTCGATTTTCTGTGAAACAAACAAAAGCCTAACATAAATGGCATTGTTATTTCAGTAGGAAATTACTCTACCTCAACTACAATACAACCAAATGTTGCCAGCCAAACTCACTGTTTCATAGTTTGCGAGCTGACAAAGGAACAACCTCAAGAAAAATGTGCTTAAAACATCAGGTTTCCTTAAAATGGGAGGGAAACCCAAAAAACACTCCATACGATTTAACAACCTAGATGGATGTGGGTTTTCTTAACATCTGAAATTGCTATTAAACCATAAAAAAGAAACCACACCTTTACAGCGTTTGCAGTGTCAACCCCGAAACACTGGGATGGCGCAGGAGCACCTGCAGCAATCCGGGCTGAGAACTGAGCGGCGGCCCCGACACCCAGTTCTCGTGGGCAGGACCCAAGCGCTGCAGTTCAGCCGTGCTCCCACACATGATACTCGCTTTCCCATCGCACAGCCTGAACGAGATGGTCCACGAGATGCGCACTGAAATGCAAAATGCCGTATTGCGTTTCCCCTGCAACACCTTAAAAATGGTTTTGAATGGGGATATATAAAGCAAAGTTTTGGCATTCACTCAGCAGGGGTAATGCTCAGGGGTAGGAAATGAAAGAATGGTGCAAATCTTGTAAGTAGGGGGTGGGGGAAGGTTGAAAGGGAAGAAGGGCCCTGCTGCCTGATTTTAAGAGCAGTGATGTTCCCACATAATTAAATTGTTCTCCCTTTCTTAGCCCAAATCCTTTTCTTTCTGATCACTAAGAAGCTGAAGAAAAAAGTTGAAGAAAACTATGGCCATTCGCCAGTTCTTCCCTCTCTTCCACCTCCTGAGCATCAACACAGAAGTACAGAGGAATAAAAACAAGCAGGGCTTTCCAATGCAGAACTGGAAACGCCAGCGACGGAGGCCCCCTACCACGAACTTCCCAAATCCCTCCCCGCTTCCGCCTCTGTACCACAACCTGAAAAAGGGAGCGAATAACATAGAGTTATTTTTTTCCGCGAAGGGATCATTCAGCCTGCCTCACGGAGTGACTGGGAAATTAAAACATGACAACGCCTTACTCAAGGGAGAAGCGCTAAGCCTTATTAAAAAGCAGGGGAACACGTGGCTGAGGAGGATGAGATAGAAACACATGCAGCCAAATCTGGCACTGCCTGTCGAGTCTCTAGGCAG